CCTCCCAGCGCAGAGGGGCCTCCTCCCAGCTGCGCCCTGGGGGCAGGTAGGAGCCGTGCCGGTGCCCGGCCACCCCCCGCCGGCTCCCCAACGCCAGGCTCTGCCGACCTAGCAGGGCGGCAGCTGGGGACGGCTCCAGGCCGCGTGCACTGGGCCCCGCTGCCCACCTGGCCTTGAAAACACAGAAACAGGAAGCAGAACAGAGGAGGAAGCGGCAGGCCAGGGAAGGGCCGATTCTGGTAAGAGGCTCGCTTGAAAGCCCAGGTCAAAAGGCACCCCCAGGGAGCCTGCCACGCCTCCGGGGAAATGCTCACCAAAGTGATCAATCACCCAGTTTCCATCCGTATGTCTCCGCCCTATCGGGACAGGAAGCTGCACGCAGGATGGAAAGCTGGCACTTGGTCCCGTGGAAACCACCGTTTCCATCTCCGAGAGTGACAGAGCATCAACACCGCGGTTAACGGGTGATGAGAGATAAGGACCAGGGGAGCGGAGGGCGGGTGCGGCCGCTCTGCGCACTTTCCAGCGTTTGGACAAAGTTCGCAACGACAGTCCGACGCGTGCTTCCCACACTTTTAATCCAGACAAACACTCGATGAGCGGCCGGACCTTGACAAGCAGGTTTTGGGCGCTTTTCTTAAATTCAAGTGCGTAAAAAAAATGTGGGCGTGCCACTCTCCCAGCCCCAGCACTGCAAGCTGTCCTGTGGCTCTATCAAGTGTGGCCGCAGACACCCCCGCCGAAGCCAGAGCGAGCCCGCCGCGAGGCCCAGCGCCACCGCCCTCCCTCCGTCCGCCGCCCGTCTGCTGTCCAGCCATCTGCCAAGAGGAAATAACTTCGCTGTGCTGGGAGTCTGGGAGTCCCAGAAAACAATCTTGAATCCACAAAAATGATCGAAGTTTGCTTCTACTGAGCCACTTGGTTCCATTCTGATTTTTATTACAATGTCAACAAGAGTTTAATTTGTTTTAAAGTTTAGGTTCTTAAATCTGAGCGATATACGGTAGCTTACGGCTTGCTGGCAACAGCTCCCGTGGAAAAAAAAAAAGCAAAGTGCAAATAAAGGCGACTCGAGGTTTGACACCGTGAAGGCGGGGAGGTGTGCCAAGAGCAGCAGGCACAGCACGGCCTTCCCCACCCGGGACGCAGCCGTGCCACGGCCAGGGGCACGCTCCCTGTTCCCCGATCTCGTTTGGGGATGGCAATTCAGGGGAAACGTCCCGAAATGCAGTTTCTCACTCGAAACATTCTCAGATGCCGGCTAGGGCCGTAACGGCGCCACCGTCTTATCTGGAGTCCCTTCTGGAAACCGGTTCCAGCACAAGCCCGAGAGGGGCCGGTGGGGGAGAAAGGTCTGCCCCACCCAGAGGGTCCCGGCGCAGGCGGCGCCGAGCCGTGGACTTCTCAGAGCCACCCCGACGGGGAACCCATCGTGATGCGGACCGCCGGCCGAGACCTGCCCCTGGTTTCCAGCCCAGCTGTCTCTGGGCCACGGCTCTCAGCCCCATCAGAACCATCTGCCCGTGTCAGGGGCAGAAAGGACAGAGGGGCCGGACAACAAGGCTTTCCCCGGGGTCTTGACAGGTCTGCAGCCATTTCCACAACAAAGAGCTACACGGGCTAGCCGGAGGAAGTGGACAGGTCCGGGGTCCCGGGCTTCTTCCTTTTGGTCTGAAGGGTGCTGCCCATGTGCGGGTCCCACTTTGGGCTCTCAGGCCCAGCTGCCCGCTCTGAGTGACCAGCCAAGGCCCCAGGGGGCAGCCAGGCTCCCCTACATCTGTGTGGCCAGACGGTGTCTCTGTGGCACATTCCCCCTTCCCCCCTGCGGTGGACTCGGGCTAGAGCCAGACCCCAGGCAAATCACAGGCGTTTCTGGACGCCGCCGAGGGCCATCAACTGCCACTGTCCTCCGGGCCCACTTCCTGCCGTATCTAAACTAACAGCAGCTGTGGGACCTGATAGGGCCGAGTGCTGGGGAAGCCTGCACCCTTGGGTGGGAGAGAGGACGGCCGGGGGGCTGATAACGCCGCCCCCAGGCCCGATGACTGCATCCTGCACTGTCTGCCCCATTTCAGAACAAAAGAACACCGGCCACTGGCTCTGCAGCGACAGCGTGCGCCCAGGGCGGGGAGTGGTCTGGCTGACTCGGCCCATTGTGCGCAGTATCAGGCTCTGATTAGCCGGGGTCCCCTGGGCCCGATAAGGGCGGATGTTTCAGAAAGGAACAGGCCTTCTTTGTTCTGCAGTGTGTGTAAGTGTCCACGTTATAATCTGCAAGGAAGGAAGAACCCTGCTTCAAAATTCAGGCAGAGAAAGGTACGGGGACTCCCAGCTCCGTGCACCCACCCGGCATGGAAACTGGTGGACAGGCTGCATGCCCGACGGCGGGAAATCGAGGACGCCGCCACGAGGCAACCAACGGAGCGGCCCCCGGTACCACTCGCTGGCCGTGTCTCCCGAAAGGTCCCTACGTCGGCTAAATGGGGGATAACGTGGAAGCACACGCAGTTTTGCGCCCCCCGAGAAATTCGACCGCCAGCATTGTGTTCATGCCACATGCGAACAAACTGTCTCCCAGCTGTCCTTAAGAAAGGAGTCCGAGGGCCGTCCGTGTTCCACAAAGGAAAAGCCGTACGTGACGCACACAAGCCTTCGGCTTCAAAAGAGCCGTTCTGCCTGTGGCGTCGAGTGTCTTGACAAGCCTGGGTGACTTTGGAAGGAAGCTCCTTAAGCCCCGCAACACATGCAGACCTAGAGCCATCCCTGGAGGTCTGGCTCTTCTGGACACGTTCACACGGACGGAGCCACGTAACAGGGGGTGTTTGTGTCCAGCTTTTTTGACTCGGCCTTGGGTTTTCCAGGTGCCCCACGCTGGAGTGTGTGTTAGCACGTCAATCCTCCTTCTGGCTGAGTAACACTCCATCGTCTGGTTGTGACATGCCTTTCCCGTCTGTGGTCCAGGGGCCGGACGCTCGGTCGTCTCAGATGTCCGGGCGGTATAAATAATGCTGCTGAGAACATCTGCAGGCAAGGCCTTGTGTGGACGTCGGTGCTGACTTCTCGTGGGCAGATACCGAAGCGTGGAACGGACGGGCCACGGGACACAACTGTGCTCCCGTGTCCTCTGCCTTTTCCCAAGAGTGCCGCTGCCATTCTTGCTTACTAGACTCCCTCCACTGGGTACAAAATCCCCTCCGTGTCGGTGTCACGGCTGCCCTCCCTGATGACTGACGACGTTGAGCATATCTGCACGTGCTTATTGGCCATTCACACGTCTACTTAAATCTTAGATGCCAGTTTTTGTCTAGGCTGTCTTCTTATTGTTGAGATAAGACTTCTGGTACATTCTGGATACGAGCCCTCGATCAGATATGTATTTTGCAACTATATTCTTTAGTCAATTGTTTGTCTTCTCATTTTCTGAATAGTTCTTTCGAAGCAGAATAAAATCTGCATTTTGATGGGGTCTCATTTGCCCATTTTTAGATATTAGGCTATGTTTTTGGTATCATATCTAAAAAATCTTTGCCTAATCTAAGGTCTCGAAGATTTTTCTCTTATGTTATTTACTATGTGTTTATCGTTTTAGCTTGTACATTTAATTCCAGGATCAACTTTGAGATTTTTGTGTACGGTATGAGGCTAAAGGTGCAAGTTCACTCTTTTGCACGTGGATATCCAATTCTTCTGGTGTCATTTGTTAAAAAGGCGATCCTTTGCCCCAGTTAAATGGCTCGGCATTTTGGTTAAAAATCAACTTACCATAAATGTAGGGATTTCATACCTCTAAATTCTGTTCCGTTGACCTGTATGTCTTACGCCAGTGCCACACTGTCTTCATCATTGTAGCTTTATAGTAAATTTTGAATCGGGAGGTGTGTGTCCCGCTCTGTTCTTTGTTTTTAAAATTGTTTTGGCTACTCTGGATCTGTGAAATTCGTATGAATTTTAGGATCATTTTGTCATCTGTCATGTTACTGAAAAAAAGCAAAACCAAATACCTGCTAGAATTTTGATAGGGATTGCACTGATGCCATAAATTAATTCCATTAATTCCACTGTGATGAGAATTAATCCTTTAAAATTTACTAAGGCTCGTTGTATGAATAGAAAACGTACCCTGGAGAATGTTCCACCCACATTCCACTCTGTTGAGTGTTCTATCCATGTCTTTTGGGTCAAGCTGGTTGACAGCACTGTTCAATTGTTCTACATCCTTCCTGATTTTTTGTCTAGTTATTCTGTCCATCACTGACAGTAGTGTGGTGAGGTCTCCAGCCATTATTTTCGTCTTTCCGTTTATCCCTTTAAATCTACCAATTTTTGTTTCGTGTTTTATGCGGGCGTTTTCAGGTGCAAATATATTTAAAACTATTGTATCTTCTTGCTCAATTTACATTTCACTCATGATAAATTGTCCCTTTTTGTCTCCATCAACATTTTCTTTCATTTTTTTCAAGTTTATTTGTTTTAAGGGGGTTGCAGAGAGAGAGGAAGAGGGTGACAATCCCAGGCAGCATGGAGCCTGATGCGGGGCTTGAACTCACGAACCATGAGATGGTGACGTGAGCCAAAATCAAGAGTCAGACGTAACTGACTGAGCCACCCAGGTGCCTCGACATTTTCTTTGGTCTTAAATTGATTTTGTCTCCAAATCTCTTTTGGTCACTATTTGCTTGGTATATCTTTTCCATCCTTTCAACCTATTTGTGCCTTTAAATCTAAAGTATATCGTCTGTAGACAGCACATAATTGGGTCCTGCTTTGTTTTCTTTTCCCTAATCCAGTCTGACAAACTTCACCTTTTTATTGGAGTATTTAGTTCATTTAAATTTAATG